TTCTTAGAGAGTGCATTTAGCACTATCCCCATCAAAAGTTTAAAGAAAAAATTGGAGCAGTTTTTGAGAAAATCGTTTTGTGTAATTTTTTAAAATTACCAACGCCATTGAGTCGGGCCAGATTGACGGCGAAATCATTTTGGAAAAAAAAAACATTAGTTTAGGCGCTAGTGTTATTCACGAGCTGGTAGAGGTTTTGAAGAAAGAAAGAAAAGAAGAAAAAAAGTTCTTTTTCGGGGGGGCCCAAAACGTATTTCTCTCGAATCGATTTTCCGCAGCATTACAGAACATATATAAACTTATAAAACACCGTAAAACAAGTACGTCCTGGGGGCAGGGGGGACATGTCGATATTCAAGACGTATGGCAATCGTATGCATGTGGCCATAATCCAAGCTGCGCACGCCAGCTACCTCGTACGCACTGGCGATAGTGAATGCAATCTAGCAACAAGCTTTACAGGTAACATTGGATTTCAAAATAATATTTAAACCGATTCCACATAATTAAGAAAGTATTTGCAGTGGCAAACGATACAAAGATTCCTTTTTTTCCAGAAGTGATTGGCTAAATAACACCATTTCATCAGTGTCCTAGCAAACCTGAGATATTTCTCTCTGCCCGTGGGTATACGCGCCGATTCAGTTGCTGCTATTTCGGGAGTAGTTCAACCTTAGATGTCCAAGTAAAATGGGTTCGGGGCTTTACATAATAATGTGAAAACGGACGTGTCTCCTATTAAGGGTCAGGTTCACTTATCTCACATTTCATGAACTAAAGATAATTTGAGTTAAAGCGCTTGCAGTCTTGTGTGATGAGCAAAAGGAAGTAGCATTCAAAACCACGATGTTTGCATCGTGCGTTGTTCGAATATCCTTTTTAATGCTCTATGAAGACTTCAGAAGCGGTTTTGCGCCCATGGTTTTCGCTCGCGCTCAGTCCAATTTGCTATAAGGATAGTTAGTGGTTCGTCTGACTTCACACTACTCTTGCTCAGTCTAAACTTAATTAGCTTCTCGTCTTATGAACCTCTGGGCCGGTACGGCCTGTCGTTCAGAGGTTGAGGGCTATTTTTCTATTGGGAAGGTAGGCAAGTACAAAATACAATTCGCTTTGAGTAATTACATATTAAAGCATTCTGAAATATCGCCCAGTGAGGTATATAGGTGAAATTGGTCTACTGGTGAATGAAAAAGCGGTGAATTCAGGTGTTACTAATAATGACTAAATATTTTCTATTTATGTAATATTTAATTTTTTGGGGAGGGGACATATTTTGATTTCGAATTTAGGATTTGGGGTTCACCGACGTAAACTCTGTTGACATTTTGGTCATTCCCGGGGCTTATTTACAGAATAAGATCATAATGAGGTAATAAAAATTGGCGTAATACATACTTTTCGTAAACATATGAAGTACAATAGAGACTCTTCTCTGATTAGGATTAAGTGAAAGTTCTCTGCTGATGCTTTCGGCTATTTGGGTGACGCTTCGACGAAGTTGGTGTTGCCGTCGTTTCGATCATATTCTGGTCTTCCGCACTGAAAAGCTGACGTTTATTAATGCTGAAGACCACAGTATTATTGTTGAAGCGTCAGCATTCCAGTGTTGAAGAAGACCATGGCATGATGGTGAAAACCTCAGTATTCCAGCTCCGAAGATCACGTGATGATCGAAGCGTCGGCATCACCTCCTTCTATGAAGCTCACCGACCGACGGCCGAGAGGTTCCGTAAGATTACGTGCGAAAGAACACATAATTTGCAAATCCTTAAACTAGAAAGGAAATTTTAATTTTTTGGGTTGAAAATTGACTTTAAACTGGAATTGAAGCCATTTTCTGTCGTAGAGTACTGAATTTACAGCACTTTTCCATTGAATAATTTACAAATGACAACTTCCACCAGGATGCATTGACAAGGAATTGTCAGATAGCAAGTTCAGAATACATGTATTGTATTTTCTCATTGTGTCACAGCTGCAGAAAGAAGTTTCTGCTTCCCTTCCCTTTGTATCACAACTACAATGCCACTTCCACCACTTAACACTAGCAATGATGTTTCCAAAACTTCACCACAAACATAAAATGTCACCTGAAAAGTTGTGTGCATGTTTGACCAATGGAATGATATGAAATTTGAGTAAATGGATTGTAATGTTTAATTTAAGCATTTATGAATTTTGTGAAATAATTTAGAGGCCAAGACTAGATGGAGGAATACCAAAGCTTGCGATAAGGATGATAAACCAAATGAGTACCATTTTCTTTCAGGAACTTTCTGAAGGACCAGCTTATGCCAACGGCAGACTGATTTACTGTGAAATCCTGGTACAATGATTACAATGTTACTACAGGTCTCTTTGCCATGATAAATTTTCAGATCCCAGAGTGAATTTCATTATCTTGATGTCAACTTTGTCTACAATGTATGATATAATATTAAGTCTCAATTACTTTTATGTTTTGCCTCGGCAACTAGTATTTGACACTATGAAACCAAGCACTACCAATATGAATAGCCAACAGTCTGTGAATGGATGAGAAAGGTCCATGAGGTTTGCTGGTTGTTGCAAAAGTAAATAGAAAGACCTGTTGTGTTTACAAAAGAAATTTGTAAGCATATTTCAAACATTGGAATAATACTTTTGAAATTAAGTTGTGATGAACTGAGCTGATGGTCATGTTCCAATGAATTAATTGGCATGTCTTCATTGTCTCTCTAGCTGATTGTTTGAAGGAAGTATGATATTGAAAGTGAATCAACTTTGAAACAAAACTGAGTGAGGTTGGAAGGAAGCATGAACTTAAAATTAAACGAAACTGGTTAAGAAATGAATATACTGTGATGACTTTGAAGAGAAAGGAAAGAAAATACTTCATAATTACTTTAATTCATTATATTTGATAAGGCAGAGGTCGATGCTGTGATGAATGCAGACAAATGACTTCAAGAAAAATGCCTGAATGTTCCTGTAAATGAACATCTTGAAATTATTCTCATACTAGTAAATTTGTTAGCATGCTTAGTGTTCATGATATTAAGGCTGGTAATTGCTAGCTAGTAAGATTTAGAGACCTCCATGGAGGAATTCAGAGTAACAAAAGACGCGTGGAAATAACTAAAATCTTTAATGAAGAAAACTGGAAGTGAACGGAACAGGTGTTTATCCAGATAAAACCTTTTTAAAGAGGGATTGCTGGTGGGTCTGAAAATTTGACAATCTTGAAATCAAGGAATTTTGGGTCCATTCATAGAAGAATTAAATTGTTATTTAACATATGAATAAATTTAAATTCTTTTGAAATTATACCTATTGTTGATCAAGTTGAGAATTTTAAAGAATAAATTCCTCTAAATTGAATTTTTTCTGTTATATGGTGAATTACTGACTCTTGGGCTAGAGCAGTCCACAGCTTGAGAGTAAATTAATTAACATATTTCATAATTCATGTGATGGGATTTTTGACAATAAAGAACTAGCGTTGCCACAGAATGGCACAGATTTTTCTGTATTAGTTTTCTATTTCCTTTGGTCTCGGCTAGTTATTCAGACTTGCCACATACTCTGGCCAGCTGCAATCAGTCGCTGACCGAAGTACATTTTTTGAAATTTTCTTATTTTTTCGTTTTTTCATAGAACGGAAATATTATTTTAAGAATATTAAAAACACTAAAACCTCATTGTAAATGTCAATGTTCTTTGAACAATTTGGAGCCATTTTAAAAACTGGTGTTTAAGATCTACTGTAAATTCGAAATTTGAAGCTCTCTTTCCCAGAAAATTTTTGAGTTTTTGAAAAACTTCTGAAGAAGTCATTTGAAACCCTTTAACTCACAAATGCATTAGTGTTTACAATTTCCTGAAAATGTGCAAATTAACAGTGTGAAAGATCCTTAAAAAAAATTACATAAGTGTAATTATTGAAAAAACAAACAAGTAACCCAAAATGAACTTTATGTCAAATTAAAGAGTGCTGTCCATCGAAAAGTTTCAAGAAAAATTTGGGGCAGTCTTTTGAGAAAATTTTGAAAATGTCTTCATGTAAAGTACCCCCAAATGTTGAAGAAAGGTTTTCAAAATCACATTGCCTCTAGTCCAACCACATCTACTGGGGAATATCAATTTTGGAAAAAATCCTACTTATGATATAGGTGCTAAAAATGTTCATGGACAGACAGACAGACCTTAACAAACAAACAAACAAACAAACAAACAAACAAAAACAAAAAAAAACAAAAAAAATAGAAAATAGTAGGACAGAAAATGAAAAAAATGAACAGTTTTGTCCATGCTATTAGCCCAAAATGATAAGTAAAGTATTAGATATAAATTGTTTAATTTGTAGGTGTTTAACATTTGTTTTTTTATTTAATATGAGCTGTAAATATTTACCTCTTCCACAGAGACTGGAAATATGCTTTTCAAATCAGACCGAACATTTTTATCACGGACTTGGAAATTTGAATATTAGGAAGCGAGAAAGGTGTTTGTACATATAATTTTCATTCTTTTTTTCTTTTTTCTTTTTTCTTTTTTTTTTTTTCTTTCTCATCTTAGTGAAAATTTTTTACAGAAATGTATTCTACAATGCACAAACATACCAAATAGCTATTAATTAGTTAATGGAAATAGTTAATGAATCCTAAATAAAGTGATTAATTTTATTAGTATTACAGTATTATGTACACAAAAAAAAACCTTTTATCCAGACTCCAAATTTTTAAATTTATTTTGAGAAATAAGGAAAATCTTTCAGGAAATTTACCTTTGGAAATTTTGTTTATATAAAACTCCATTCTTTTAAGTGGCTTGTATCTATTGTGAAGTTGTGCTTATAATTATTGTGCACATATCACTGGAACTCATGCATGTATAAATGTATGGTTGGCTTATTGCTTTCTGCTTTTCTGGGCTTGGGTTCATGCCATTTTGTATCCAACTGTAGTTGCTTGTATTTTTTATGTGAGCTTTGGTGCTAGTTAATTTTTTTCTTACAGCTCAATCTGGAAGGAAGCGAACATCAAGTAATGAAGAAAATCTAGTCAATTGCTCAAAAAGAACTAAAGTTGCTGTATCTGAAAGTGAAAATCAGACAAGTGATGTATTGATGAGTGAACTGCCTACCGATAGTGACTCTAGAAAGAAGTGCTCTGAAGCTGATACCAAAGAAAAGTGTGACAGTAGGACCAAACGACTATCCAATTCAGTTGATGATGCAGTACAAATAAAGAAGATTCGTGTGATGCCAGAAGTTTCAATTAGTGATAAGGATGAAAAATTAGATAAACAGACTAATTCTTCTGAAAGTTTGGAAACTAAGAAAAGCAGCGACAACAATACTGATGCAAGAAAAGAAGCTAGCAATTTGGGGAAACATCCTATGCCATTTTTACGAACTTTAAACCGGGCACAGTTCCAAAACATGTCACGAAATGTAAGTAAGAAATCAAGTATTTACCAGTCTGGGTGTTAATATTTTATGTTTAATGTAATATCTAATTTTCTATATTGCAGGATCTGGAAGAACTAATTCTGCAGAAAATGTGTGAGGCAGTAACACAGCGCTCTAAATGTGGAGAATTGCGGGAACTGGCTCAGACACTTGAGGAGAAATTAAAGACTTGGCAAAAGAAATGTGTTCAACTTACCAAACAGGTTAGAAACTATTTTTTCTTCTACACTTGCAATTGTGTATATTTTTTCTCATTTTGCATCAATTATTAACATTTATTTTCAGAGACCAACTTTTTTCAGTCGTGCTTTTTACTAAAAATTGAAGTGTAACAAATTGTGTTTTATTTAGTCATGACATGTGAAACTAAAATAAAATATCAGGGGGAAACAGAACAAAATAAAAAGAACATATGAAGGTCTTCAATTAAACACATTATATACATCTTGAAAGTTGCAAAATGTTTTAGTTCTTAAATTGGGACCTTCATGGGGAGATGTAATCATAAATTTCTGCAACATGAAACTGAGAAAGTGTACAACTCTGAAGATCACATACCGTATTTGCTTATGTGTAAGCCACACTTTTTTTCTTTCAAAACAGCTCACGAAAAGGGGGTGCATCTTATATATGATTTTTTTTTTTAAAAATTATTGGACTAAAAACAGTTTTAAGCTGTAAATATTTATTTATCGCAAATGTACTTAGTATATATATTAAAGTAAAATTTAGTTCCTTTCCTCACTCCTGGATTCACTCACATCCTCTCCTGAATCGTCATTTTCACAATCGCTGACGTTTCATAATAAATCGCCCTCGCTCCCATCTTGTTTCAAATGCCGCATACTTCAAAACTTTTGGCGACCAGCTCGCCTGAAGTTGATGTCCACGCATCCAAAATCCACTTGAAGTGGCCTTTATGAGACTTATCAGGCGAAGGCGTGGTGACGTTCGTTGCGCCCACGTACGATACGAACTTTGTACGTACACTTTGGTTGGCCGGTTAAGGGCCACGTCTGAAGGTCATGCCGTCTCTATTATTAAATCTCCATTGTTCGCTTTCAGTTTGCTTCTTAACATCTGGGTTGTGTGAACCCGAAAACTGACCCCAGCCAGCATGGATCGTTGTTGCAGCAGCGCACCAGGGCGCTGCAATCACATATTTCATCTAGTCCAGGACGAGGTTTTCGCCCATCCATCCAATTATTTTCCTGAACACTTACTTCTATCCTGGGGAGAAAACTTCTCCTTTGGCAGTTTTCTTTTCCAAACGTATGGCGGCAACTTGCGCCCGCCCGATGTTATCATCAGCATAATTGAGAAGCGTTGCTTCTCTGCGACCTCTATACTTATGGGAACACTTTTCTCGTCTGCGGGATGCACAGTCGTATCGGCCATAGAAAAAGGGGACTCTGATCGCATTTCCCATTTGCCCCAGTATGTAAACATTTCAAAAGATCTCTGAAATAGCAACAGCTTTTCCTCATAAGCTTGCGACAGACTCCCAGCTATAGTTGGACGCCGTAGAGTTCACGTCTTTCCATGAACCATCGCACGCACCCACGGTAAGCTTCAAATTCGCAACAGAGATCTCGAGTTTTCTAGTGATTTTGCAGCATCTCACGGGAAACGGCAAAACAGTCGCCCCGGTTTTCCCCATCATATTGTAATTCTTATTTTATTGCTTGATGTGCATTTTTACTTTCTCGCTGCCGCTTACGTTGTGAAGAGATAGTGCAACGTACTAGCAAACGAATCTCGTGGCAGCTATTTGGGGACGCGTGGTAAGGCATTAGTAACAGGAAATCACTTCGCCACAGGAGGGAGAGCAGGGTGTGTCCTTAAAGCCAGTACGCGGCCAAGGGAGACACGAGGCTTTGGGGGCCTCCGGTCGTAAGGAACGGACACTCAAACCTCATGGCGAGGAGAAGGGCGTTGCGGGGGTGGCGTGACGTAGGTCACGTGTGCCTCGAGTATGTAAGGGAGTGCACAGAGCCAGTTGGTGGGTTCTGGAGACTGGAGAACCTCGTGCAGTTGCACAAAAACGTGGTGCCACGACGGTGCAGCGGTGAGCAGGGCTCGCGAGGCAAGTCACTTGTTGAGCCTGTGGAGGACTTTGTGTCCTTGGGTGACTGCGGTCACGTGGGAGCGATGCTGTGTACGTGCCGGAGCACGTAGGCGTGGCACTCAACCACTCCTCACTTCGGAAAGTGAGGAGTGGTTGAGTGCCACGACTCGCGGCTGATTCTCAATCGGGTGAGATCGCTCGTGCGATCGAGGCAAACCATCAGTTGGTACGCCGGTACGGACTTTGTGTCCCAGTGTGACATCCGCTTACGGAAGCTTGGCTTTGTGCGCGCTTCAGAAGTAGGAGTGGCGAGTGCCACAATTGAAACGGATCATCAATCGGGTTTGGATCGCTCCCGCGATCAGGGGATAGCAGGTCTATCGGATCTAGGGTGTAAAGTGTAAATTCATTGTAAATATTTGTTTTCTTTGTAAATATTTGTTATATGAAAGCTCTGCGCCTGTGTTTGCTGTGAGTAACCATGATGCCACAATAGTTATGTAATGCTTCGCGAAAAAAAACTGAATTTTTGAAGAAAAACTTTTGTTACAGGGCCCTGGTAACGAACAAGTGGATTAATCCAGTTGCTAAATTTAGGGGAACAAATCCTCTAACACGTGGTGTATAGACCAAGTGTGGGCACAACGTGACAACAACTCATGTTCCATCGGGGGGGGGGGGGGCACAAGACTTCTGGGTGGGAACCTGAGCTTTCGCTTTTCCGGCCGGAACCCTGCAACCTTCCCAACCAATGCCTGGGTGGGGCGGCTCTGCCAGCTCGGAGCTACTAGCTACGGGCTAGTACCGGAGTCATTATTTCTGTATATAAACGCGCCATTCACATGCAACGGGCCACAATGTCTCTCGTCTTTGCCTAGAGTTTCGGGCCACTACCACCACGACGAAGCCAGGAGCCCATCTGGGGCCACGCGAACTACGGTGCGGGCGGCTCGGGGCCCCCGTCCCGTCTCCTCACTGCCTACTCATTTAGGCTATCGACTTGAGTGCCGCCGCGAACCTAGGCAACCTGACGGGTGGTAATTTCACGCCGGACTTTTATATGTGGATTCCAGAGCATTTCGAAGATTCTCCTTCACCTAATCCTGCCCAAAGGTGGCCGCGACATAGGGCCCGACTGGTGGGTTACCGTGTTGAACCGGCAACGAGTAGCTTAGCATCGTTTACTCACTGCCTCCACTTCGAGACTAACGACGCGAGTGCCGCCGTGAAACTAAGGGTTCGCGGGTGGTCGTCTATAATTCTCCACCACCAGAGACTACCCACATACGCAGACACGATCCCCCCTTCTGCGGGGAACACATGGTGCAGCCTGAGTCATAGTTTGTGAGTCCTTGGTACCGGAAGGTCGATTGACGGCAAAACGTCCGTCTGCCCGTCAATGGCCAACGCGGCTAATCCGATCGGCTGATTTTCTAATGTGTGTGCGTGCGCGCGCGCGAGGGTGCGGGTGTGGGTGTGTATACCGATATTTTAATTCGGGGGACACTTTATATGAAGCCCCTGGAACACAAAAAAAAGCCGCATCATTTTTTAATACATTTTGTTGTTGTTAGTGTGAAGGACGTTTAAGAGTGACGCAGGTCTCATTTTCGTTAAAAGCTCAGATTTTTCGAAAATTGCAAAAATTCAATAAATATTCGTAGTCTTCCTACATTTAGAAATATGAAGATACAATTTTTTTCCTTAGTGAAAAGAGTTTATTAATAACAGATCGTTAAATGAGGTTATGTTCAATTTTTAAAAAAACATGAGTATTTTTGGCGAAATTTTCTGTTAAACATAGGTGATTATTTTCTTTAAACCACTTCTTCTTAAAAATGCACAATGGTTTTTTAATAAATTGGAAACTTAGCCTAAAGGATGCTTAAGAGAATGGTGCAAGCCTCATAAGCATTGAAATGTTTTAAAAAAATAAATATTCTAAATTTTGGCGCCTTCTTACAACTACAATTGTGAAGATACATTTTTTCGTAATGAAATGTATTCATCAAAAACGTCTTCAAATAAGGTCATGTTGAATTTTTTGAAAACATGACTGCGCTTCGTGAACGTAATTTCAGGGAGGAATTTGTATATTATGTTATATTTCTTGTTCGTTTCTTACATTTGAGCTTTGGTTTTACATTATATTCTTTCTCTCTCCTCCTCATCCTCATCCTCCTCCCTCCCCCATAACCTCATTTGATAGTATTGAAAAACACACATGAGGATTGTATGGAATCTTCCCTTCCTCATCTCTAACCACTCTTCTCCCTGTCGCACAAACACACTCTTACACATGCACTTACTTGCACTACTCTAC